ATCCGCGCGCAAAGAGAAAGGGAACGAGAGGGAGGGGGAGGGGGGGGGAGGTAGGACGGAAGAGCGGAGAAGCGGTATACAAATTCGAAGTATCGCGTTGCCTTTAATTCCACTTCGCCTTCGTTCCGTCCGATTCTCCGTTCTAGCGGAGCGGGCATTTATCCTACTCTCGAATGAGAGGGAAACCCTCTCTCGGTACGCCCGGCGGGAAACAGATGCTTCCAATTCCGGCGATAGATCTGCGAGGGATCCCGGGGTGTAGGAATAAAGTGGAAAAAGTCGAATCGCAGAAATGCCGCCGCGTCCGCTTTTCATTCTGCGCTTTATACCGTGTCTCCCGTCCGTTCGCTCCTGTATCGAACGAAATTTCTTTTCGGATGGGGGAATCGCGTCTTTCCACGGATCGCCGGTCCGCCAGGAATTATATGGAGGAATGCAATAAAAAAAATAAAAAAAGAAACTAAACACCGTTATATCTTAAGAACTTTATTTGTCCCCTGGATCGCTTACCTCGGCGTGGGAGGAGGCGGAAAGATAAGCAGCGGTCGATAATCCCGTGGAAGGATAAAAAATAAAGATGGCCGTGAAGAGGAGGCGGCGGGGGCGTCGGAGAAGGTCGCTGACGTCCCTTTGAGAATACCAGAAAACCAGTCCAGAACGAGATTTCCGTGGTTGTCCGAGCGCGAGTGTTTTCGATAGACAACTCGTTGAAAGTTACGATCCGGCGGAAATCATAAATGTCTCGTCGCGCGCACGACAAAAGTTGTGCGACGCAAACGTTTTAGTAAATATCTCTCATTCATTCTTGAATGTTATTATTGTGAAAAGAAAAAAAAAGGAGCAAACAAACGAAAAAACCTTTCGCACAAAATACATTTAATTGGCAGTTATAAAGTGCCTTGTTTTCTTTTTCTGCAACGTTCATGCGAATTCGTGTGAATCTTAATTGAATTTTTTCACATTAAAGCGAGAAGCACGCGCCAACCGGAATATAGTGAAACAAATGAAATCGTTCCCTCCCGACAAATATTCCGTTATATTATGCTTCTATGGTGTCATAATTTACACGAGTCTGCTATAATATTTCAGGACGTTTTCCAGTCCAGGGTGATGTACGATTTTTAATTTCCGCATTTCCGTTTGTCGTTTTCTGCACCGTTTGCCGCTGTGCTGCGCTGTCCGGTAAAATTTAGCGAGTACGTGAACGGATTAGCATAACATTGCCCAAGTTGCAACGTAGTTTAACCGAGAGCTGATCGCGCGCTTGCATTGGCTGGCACGTTCGGTTCGCCAGCTGTCTCGTTACATCCGATGCAGTTCGCGCGGAGGTTGCACTATATGCATAAGTACATAAGCGACCGCTGACTGAAGCCGTACCTGAGCAGCGTACCGAAAGAGATTAGAACGTCGGTGTACTACAAGAATACGCGCGAGAACATCTGGCGAGTAATTCGATCATTTATTTTCACGTTCGCGACTTGTTATTACGTTCGTTCGAATATTTTGCCAGTGAAATATTGAACAATTCAATAAATACCGTGTCGCTGGTCGATTCGAACCGCGTCACCCGCGATCCAAGTCCCCCGCAAATGAAATTTCACTGTATTTTTCGTGTTGCGTATTGCGGGCTACCTAATTCATGCTTAATTCATGCTGCGGCTCACCGGATCAATTATGTAAAGCGTTTCCCGACGTAAAGCGAAATCGTGCCGCGTTTCGCACGGCGAGAGATCGAGAGAGGATCCGCCGTGGCTCGGACTCGCAGTATCGCTGTACGTCGGGATTTTTCCTTTTTCGCTGCTCTATTTTCCGATCGAGGCGACGCGGCGAAGGATACGGGCGGTGATCTGAAATACGGGCACGTAGACGCGAAGAATATCGGCGCGATATATACGATTTACGATACATCGTCGACCCGACGCACGCCGGGGCTACGTACGTGTGCGCGCCATCAGGACAATGATAAAATAATAAATTGCGGCACGCTACCACGCGACGGCTCTATAACCCGTCCGTGGGGAATCGAATCGAGGTTCTCTTTTCGCGCACAGCCGTACGTGCGCGCGCGCGCGCGCCTGTGTGTGTGCGCGCGATCACGCCGTACGCCAGGACTCAGATACGAATTCCGGATTGGAATATTGCCCGAATACACTACCGTTGACTCCGGATCTTTAATGGATGTATTACGTCCCGCGCGGATAGAGCGAAGCATTCGTTATTTATGCGTAAGAACGTGTATCGGTGCTACGTGGCGCTTCGGAAACGCGCTGCGATACTCAAGGAATTGTCCTGCGCGATTTGGCGCTGGAATTTCGCGATGCGAAATGGTTCGTCGTATAAAATGTTATTGCTTTGCAAGTTTTATCGCAATACATTATAATATACTTTACGATATTACGTATTTTATCGTTCTTTCTGTGGAACTCGCGTTTTTATACGTCACAGTAAATGTGTGTAAAAAAAAATCGAATCCCTATTATTGTCACGAAAATAATTTCTGCTTGGTGTAGAAAACTGTCCGATCGCAAATTCGTTGTGTAATAGATTGTATAATTGCGAACACGGGTTGTATAATTACGCGCATAATCAATTGTGTCCAGTTCACAAGCGATCTTTGATTACATTCGATAACCGACGATGTATCGCGAATCAAAATTTCAAATCAGCGTTTCGAGCCGGATATTCCGGGGAAAATAGCGAAAGCAGAATTGCGGCATTTTTATTTCGCGATAGAGGAGAGCGGCTCGCTGCAAGGCAAATTATCATAACACGCCGTTACGTCGCACATTATCCGCGCATTTACGCATACCGCGAATTCCGAGCTCATAATTTGAATCCTCCGTACGAAACAGCGATGAGCGTCTGCCCGCGCGGAAGCCGCATTCTACAATATCGTAAATACCGCATGCCGACCAACGTTTGCATATTTTGCACATAATATTACTTTATTCCCGTTAATATCGCGCATCACTTTACTCTCCACTGAAATTAAAAAAGAAACAAATACTCCAAACAAAAAATGGAGCGACGAGATGTGGGGAAAAGTGCACAAGAGAGAGAGAGAGAGCACAAGTGCATTTTACTTATTCGATATTGAGAAACTTATTCGGAGAACTTTAAAGATAGAAGGAAGTCCGCATATTCCGGGAAATTTATCGAAATGTAATAAATGGAATGAGATCCACGAAAATCTTCTAGTCGCATTTACCGGGGGTTAATGCATCCAATATTATCGATTACTCTGTGTACAGTCAGCTGACAGGTGATGTTGACCAGCCGTATGCGCATTTGATTCCGTAATATCCCGGTATTAAGTAGTGATTTCCATTAGTATCACACTTAGTAATATGCACGCTTGTTAATATGATTGCTACGATATTATGCAAATTACTCCCAACTGTTTTCTTGCAATCGTGAAGTTTTTAAATTGCAGCGAAAAAACGAATTGGATCAAAGTGATTCTTAATTAAATGGAAATCGTAATATTTGCCATTAATTTCCGCCGGTATCGAATTTGCCGTAAAAACCTTCCTTAATGAAAGGTAATGCAGTACGCGATCTTTTTCTCTCTCGTTAACGGAAAGGGCGTGATGTGTAATTATAAAATCGCCCACTTGCTGTTATTTGGAGAGAGTTGCCAGCCGCTCGTAACTTGGTCATTGTTCCCGGAACAGTGCGCACGGTGCCCTACGTGCATTCCCCCGATACCGTAAATATCGCGCGCGTCGGCCGATATTTACGTCGGCGCGGCTCGTATATTCTGGAATACCTTCGACCGCTCTCCCGCGGGACGTTTCCGTGTTGGGCGTCAGTGTGTCATGAAGAGCGAGTGGGGAAAAAAATATATATCACGCCGCGAAGAAAAACGGGGTCCGGCGCGAGAAGACGAAAAAAAAAAAAAAAAAAAAAGATCGCTAATAAATCGCAGCGGGACGCGGCATTTAATCGACGCGATGCATGACGTTTGACGACGGCACACCCGTTACGCACACTTGCGCGCGCGTTGGATGAAAACGTTGTGAGAGAAAATTCGTATCCGCGCGAGAGAGAAATGGACGTGACTTTGGAAGTACTTTCTTTTCGGAAGAGATTCGCGAGGAAATTAAAGGCAGTTCAATTTGAAAGGATTATCTTTTAAAAGAGTGCTTAAGCACCTTCTTTAATTCTTCTAACTTTTTTACTTAGGTCAATTGTTAAGCCGAAGACAACGGTTAACTTCGGGGTGATTTTTTAACTCCCAGAACTTTAATCTAGAATTAAAAATCAGGATCGCGGAGAATATTCTAGGTTGTTTTAATGTTGCTCTTGCTTATTCCGCGGCATCAATTACCCGAACATTCTGTACACGTAATGCGTGCTCGCATCCATGCGTGCAGTTTTATCGCGCCCAATATCTGTTATTCATTCACTCTCGTACCAGCTGTCGTGGGCGGTGACGATATCCGACTAGTCATCGGATCGACTTTACGCCCGCGGTGTATCTGGTAAGGCCGCGATATGAAATTGAATAAAACGCACTGTCCTGTTATCGGAAGTTCCGTGAACGCAGACGAGATCCCTTCTCGCTCCCGTGTTATTACGTCCGTTCGATGATCGCTGGTATCGATTATCCGAGAGATTTTCGGAGACGACAAGCCGAGACGCGAGCGAACGTATAATCAGTCTCGGGGGTTTTTTCCCTCTCGGGGGTCCAACAAGATTTGGCCTCGATTCGCCTCAACTTCTGAAGAACAAGAATTCATTTCCGGCGCGATCGTAAAAAGCGGAGTAAAGTCCGATCATGAGAAAAGTTAATTTAGCGGCGATAAAAATTTTCGTACCTGCTGTCAGCCGAGGAAATTTCTCATTTGCGCCGCTCGCTGATTATCGATGTTACTTCGTTTTTAAGATTAGCGCTAAGCAGGTCAAGTGTGAATTGCGCGGGACACCGCGACGGATGTTTCGTGACATCTCGTGACTTTGCGAAATTAAGTCGAGTATATTTCTCGCTCGTGTTGCAGCTGTCCGGACTGGTGGTGGGTGGCATCGGTATCTGGACGGTGGTGGCGAAGCACAGCTACGTATCTCTGATGTCCACCTCGACGTATCCCACTTTGGCCTACGCCTTGATCGTCGCAGGTGTGCTGGCTGTCATCGGTAGCTGGCTCGGATGCGGCGGCGTAACTTCTGAAAATCGATGTGTCCTCCTCGTGGTGAGTCTTGCCTGGCTATACATCAACGCTCGACACAATAAGTTCTCGCAATAATTCTTACCGCGATGTCGCACACGGAAGACGGATGCCCGCGCATTATGAACGAAATCCGTTCAATTAATCAAATTAATTCCTTTAATTCCGCATGCTAGGCTACGGCGGCACGCGGTGAGCGAAGTGATTATTCATTAATCATTGCCATGTTCGAATTGCATTAATTGACTTCCAGAAACCGACGCGAGGGAGTTTGACGCGAAGTAATATAGTCGGATCGATGGCAGTAATAATCCCGCTCTCAGCATCCGCCGTCAGTTCTCGCGGAGATCTTAATTCATTAGATGATAAACGGCAAATAAATTACATAATTCACTTCGCCTGCACTTCCGTGCTCCGCAAGCGGTTGTTCTCCGCTAAAACGAGTTTGTCAACGGTAAATAACGAGTTTGTCAACTGGCATTATTCTTGGTCAAAGAAGTTGCGCGCGTAACTGTCTCGCCGGGTCTTATCGATCTAAAAGAGAGTCATTTATCAACGAGACGGCGTCATCCGATTAATTAATTCTCCGGTTTGTGAGCGAGATCGAGATAGCTCGGATGCGCCGCGAGAGAGCGTCTCCACGGCTTGAAAAGACGCCGGGGTAGATATCGGAGTCAAGTATCGGACAAAAGACCGAGCTATCGCTCTTAAAGGCGCCCCTCTATTCGTAGTAACTCGATGCGCTTTTATGCGCGGCGATCATTCGCGATGTCGCGATGCATCGCGAGCTCTTTCTTTCGCAATCGGTATCACGTCGAACACTTTACTCGGTTATCGGAAGTCATCTCGCAGCATATCTCGATGATATGCAGAAGAGTGTCATCTCGCTACCTACCTGCCAGTTACGAACGGCGATAAAATGTGTAAAATTTTAAGCTACCGCATAAAACGTTCCGGTGTGACAAATTATTTTAAACTTCTTTTTACGCACAGCCGAGAAATCAATTTTCTCGAAAGCGAAGCCGCGCGCGGAGAAAATTTATTTTCAATGTGCTGGACTTACTTTCGCGAGAAATTACTCCTCACCCGGAAGTACTGCGATTTCGATCGCGCTCTTTATAGACGTGTGAGCCACAGGGCTTCTGGCGCAGAGCACAAGACCAGATATCAGAAACTATGTAGCGGAGATACGAAGTCTGTAGATTAGAGAGCAGTGTAGATACACAGGGCGGCATCGTTTAAACCAAGTTAGTCGCAGAGAAGCTACGCGCATACAATATGACGAAAATTATTTCTGCGATGCTTGCGTATACGCGGAGTAATTAAAACAAAGTTTATATTAACTAATGGGCGGTCTCACACCCGCATCGGGTAGCTTTAATTGCAGTTTAACTAACTCTCCCCTTTTACGAGGCGTTTCTATTTGCAACGCGCATAGAGAGGAAAACATTCAATTAAATGTTTTTAACAAATCAATTACTCTCTTGATGTCAATGAAAATTTTGCGCTGGAAACCTTCATCTCGTGCCGGCTGTATCGTTGATTCAGCCCTTCATCCCATTTAACGATCACTTGTCAATACTAAATAACGCCGAGCTTGCCGAGACTTCAAAAGAATTTATTTACGCTGTTCATTGTTAATATCGTTCCTTGGAAGTCTCGAGAAGAACTTCATCAAAGTAGCTTGAGCATGCTGCTACGAAGTCGAGCCGCCTCTTCACCTACGGGCTCGAACATTCCTTTGACTTAGCCGAGCTTCAACATTATTGCTCGAGGCGGTGCAGTCTTTGTTGTTGGAAGCCAGTTAGTTACGTGACCAGCGGGAAAATCAAACTGATAGGAGGCGGGGCTTATGCGAGTAAATTAAAAACTGCCGCTCAAAGTGAGCTAATCTCCGCGTTCGGAAAAATGATTCGGAATTGCCCCGAGATTGCAATATTATTCCGGCAAAGAAGCAGCTCGGTCTTTCTTTCGCGGCAGCTAGAAATTCTTCTCAGCTTGCAACGTTTTAACTCTGCAATAATTCAATGTTATGGATCGATTAAATGGTATTTTCGCACAATAGCGCGACTGTACTTCTGATTTATCGCGAACGAGCGTACTTTCGCGTTTCCGCGTTTCACGAGCGCGCGCGGCCGCTAAAAATACGCGTCTTTGGCCTTCGACGACGTCGTGCAGGAAGCCCTCTCTCCTCTCCCGCTTTATAAATGAAAAATCGATAACCCCGCAGTCGATTACAATGAACCGTAATATCGATACGGGATAATTCACCGCGCTGGCGACGCTACTCGGGCGCCTGGTTCTCTCTCTTTCTCCCTCTCCCGCTCTTTCCCGACAAGTCGCTACTAACAATGCCCGGCTTCCTCCTTTGAACCTTCAGGTAAGGGGAGTTTGAGCTCGCCTTTGACCTTACCCATAGTCTACCACCTCCGACATTATCGCCATCGGCCGACAAAGTCTTTCCTCCGTCGCTGCCCGAGGCCACTTGGCGTAGCCGGCTACATAGACGCCGACGGCGTACTTTTGAAAGCGGCTTAACTCGCGCGCGCGCACCAAAGGGACGTTATTCATCGGGAAACGTAGGCCGCACGCATGCACGCGCGAACACCCACTGGGCCGGCCGTGTCCGGGCTTAACACGAAGTTGTGGAATAAGACGAAAGTATCGCGGACGGCCGCGTATCGCGCGATAACTCCGAGTTGTTCACACGGATGATTATTTAATACGGTGTACGCGGCGCGCGCGGTCGCCGCCCGTCGCTCTCCGTGGAATTTGCAGAAGCGCTTCTTCGCATGCGGTCCGCGCCGCCGCGCGTTGAGTTTGACAAATTGCGCATTCATACCTCGCGATATTATTTTACGCGCGGGCTCCCCACGGGCGGCGGCGGTAAACTTTCTCTTATGGGCCGCGATGCGGCACTTTCCTCGGGGACTTATTGCGTGATTTAAGGCACCGCTTTTGGACGCCACCGAAGGGAATATTACAGCTATGAAAGCTCGATCTTCATTTTTTTATATTTCGTTTTCGCGTAATAAGCCAAGTTTTTATAAACTTCTTCTCGGACGGAGAACTCTTTATTTCCGGGAGTTAGAACGGTCACCCGCGGGTAAGCCTACCTGGAGATATATTTAGCGATCCTCCTCTATCTCTGTTCACGTTTCCCCTTTCCGATGCGCGGCACCCTTCGCTGAGTAATAAATCGACCTTAATCGGGAGTTAGCGCGGCGACCGTAAGTGGTAGCTCGCGCTTTCGCTATATCTCCAACGACACCGACTGGATTATCTTTAATCCTGCCTAAATGATAGTTAAACACCAGTAACGAGCTTTGCCGATCATTACTAACCGCAGAGCTCCGCCACGTGGCTCCCTTGAGAATTATGCCGTCACTTTTCTACGCAATCCGGTTAGCTCTGTGCGTAAAGTCTTCTAAAAAATTGTTCTCTCATTTTATCCGTTTGTATTTTGCATATTGAAAACAAAATACGCATCTGAATCCCGTTTATACAGATATATCTTTTTGTGAAAAAAGAATATTTTGTAAAATATACAATGCGCGCGCGATATAAAAAATAAATCTTAAAAATATATTAATACACGGAGAAAATTTTATATCAAAAAGTACATACTGTGATACGGTCGTAGCGCGCGGACCATAAGAGGAATTAAAAGTTTAATTATTATGGCTATTATGTGAAAAACATAGTAAAACTTTTTATAATTTTTTCTACGACCACTGCCGTACATAATAATTTTTTATATAAAATTTTGTTCGTGTACATAAAGAAATATAAATAAGAGATACTTCAGATAACTTAAAAAAAATTTAATATCGCATTTTTTTGTAAATTTGTAACTTTAAGAGACTTATAAAAATATTTAGAAAACTTAGAAAGCCATGTGTGGTATTTTCAATGATCGTAGCGAGTATGAGTGCCTTTATTTTCTCTCGGATTATTTTTCTGCGCGATAAATTGCTGTGGACCGAGAATCAACACCGTTACTGCTGACAGAAAGTTTCACAAAGTATCTAATCGGAGCAATTGAATTATCTTTTATCCAATCTAGCGGTCAGTTAAAGTTCTTTTTACAACCGTCACTGACCAATAAGACTCGTGATGTGTACACTCAAATCACGACTCTCGCACATGATTGCTTAATTACGTAAGTGCTTGTCGAGGCACAAAGCGAATTATTTTCTCTTTTGTCGTCTGCGCGCTCAATAAATTACTCACAATTTTTACACCTTTCAGCTTAGCGACATCATCAAACGATATCATCTCAGTCATATTACGCGGCTTTATAATTTAAGAAACGAAAATCTATTCTTCGTTGGAGATTTAACGATCGCGAACTGATATTCAATAACAGTTCCATTTACTCAATTGCAGGAAGAATTACATTCAATAAAAGCCATTAATACGATTCTGTACGGATGAGATATTCAAACGCAGAATTTTTTTATTTAGATACTCAATCTGGTCTGACTGGCGCGTAATGCGCTTTCAACGTAGGCTTTCAACATCCATTCACATAAAGATGAGGGCTAAATCACCCGTAATAACCATCGCTAATCACCAGATAATTCCACTTAACCCGCGCCTCTTCCCGAATCATTAGTTCAGCCTTAATTGCACGATTTTCCTCTCCCGAAACGCTCCGGCTATGAACTACGCTTTTTAATCGTTTCTCTTATGACATTATTACAACCATAATCCTTTTATTATTTTCGCACATTATCGAGCAGCTATTCCACGCTTTTGCGGAACATGATAAATCGCTCGCGCTTGAAGTGAGGCTCGCGCGCCGCTACACAAGCGCGAAAGAAAACATTAAATCACTCTGGCAACAACCGCCGCTAATCGCCGTATAATACTACCACTTGCACGTCGTTGCACTCTTGATTCACAGTTCTATCCATCCGTTCAATCTTAATTGCACAAGACTTTCCCGTGCGCATCTCGCGCGCGATCTGCCGTGTCCCATCCAACGACATGCGGCAAACGAACGCGAAGAAGGTCGTTCG